GCAGTTGTATATTTCTAAATGAAACACCCTTTATTAAAGGATTAGGAATTAATTAATGAAATGTATTTGATAAATATTAAAAGTTATTAGGCTTCGTTGTAAGCGTCTGTCAAACGGGAAGATATTTTGAAAATGAAGTGACAGTTGAGTTGACAGCTGATTCGGTAGAAAGACAGCACTGCAAAAATAATATAAAAAATACTTGTATTAAATACCACTATTTTATTATCGGTTATCTGTTTAATTGCCCGTCTTTCTCAGAAAATATAACAAATATCATCAAAATCTGTACAAGTTGTATTTGCTTTTTTACCCTTGATATTGACGTAACGCTCAGAATTAATAATTCTAGCGGTTCCAAGTATCTACGTCAATAAAATTTGATCTATTCGGTTGCTTGCCAACATGAAGAGGCATGGCAGACATATTGACGATTTCTTATTCCACACACATCCACACATATATGCAACAATTTTTACTTATAACATACACAACATCTTACAAATTATAGACTTTGCGACTTTTTTATTTTCGCCACATTAACGAAAAAAGTGTTAAGCAATTATTTCATTTTGCTGGTTCGCGTATGTTAAAAATAAATATTACCCAAAAATTTAGCGAAATATCAAGACAATGCATGTGCGTAATCTGGCGAAACGATGGAACTCACGACAAACCCGTCTACAAACACAACTGCATTATGGTATATTTGTACATATATAAATGCAGTTAATCAAATTTGCCTAAAAATTAATGATCATGGTGAAACTGGTTCTGCATTGTACCTTTTTAGACTACTTACAAAGTGGAACCCCGTTGATAAATGGAACTTTTAAATCACAAAGCCTGAATCTAAATAATTTTTGCGAATAAAAAGCGTTTTCTTGATCACAATTATTGTATAATTTTATTGTATTAATTGTAATGTTGTAATAATTGATATTTTGTCGATCTTTACAATTATCAACATTGCAGACTCTTAGTCTACGCTCCGAAACACTAAAACTGAAGATTAAACATCAGAGCAAATACTTCATTTGCAATAAGAAGATCTTTAGATGATATTCAAGCAGATTTTAATAGAAAAAATAATGACAATTGGGTTTATTCGGTGAACAACATTTAAATGAGATATTGGAAGATCAGTGAATATTTTCCTTTTAAATATTTTTACAACAAAAAAAAAATTTTTTATGCATGCGCTATTATAGGAAAGCCTTTTAAAATTTGGTGAATTTCGTTCAATAGCAAAAAAAACATAAATAAATGAAAATATGAAAAGCGGGGATAAGAATAATAATAATTAACGAACTTCCGTAAAACACCTCTCACAACTTATTCTATAGTTCATATATGTAGTAGGTCAGAACCTTTCTTACGCCGTGTCGAAATTTTTAAATAGCTATTTCCCACGCTTTCGTATTATTCGTGCATTTTCGAACACACATTCCTCTGCTTTCCGAATAACTTCAGCAGTTACCAAATATCTTATCATCCTGGTTTTATATACTCTCAACTAAAAGACCGTTCCACTTTCATACCCAGTTTTATGATCGTAAATTCTGTTAGAGTCAAAACCCCTATAAAATGATGTTACCGTATTGAGTTGTGTTTCCCTATTTGAATTTATTTTCACGATCACGACAAATCTTGTTACCCAAACTGGTAATCGGTCAATTAATTCGTGAGAGCTTGAAAAAAATATATTAATTGATTATCCGCACTCATAAACTTTACATATCTAAAACCAAAAAGGACTAGTATTGGGACAAAAGTGTACAGTTCTGAACACAAACTAAGACCTTTCACTATTATTCTGAGTATAACAAAAACTGACTCGTGACACGAACGCATTCGCTAATAAATGAAAATATAAAATTGTGTGCATTTATTCTTTACCAACAACAATAAGTATTGTCCCGAGCCTGTCACCAACTTTTGCAACAGACGCGCCAACGACAACAGCAGCAGCGGCAGCGACAGAAGTAGCAGCAGTAAAGCATTGCCAATTATGAAAAAAAAAACATCAGCATCACACTAAACGACTGGATGTTCTTGATTCGTCGCGTTAAGGCGAACGCTTTGAAGATAAATTTGTTGGCTTCTATTTTTGTTTGTTTGCATATGTAGTTGTTGTATTTTTAAGTGTATAGTTTTGCATTCAAATTTTTGTTTACTATTTTTGTTATTCTTTCTTTGAGTTCAATGCAAATATATGCAAATAGATAGACGAAATGTTTTAAAAAAATTCGTTTTATAGTGGAAAAATGTTGAATAAGTTGGACCTCGTGGCGGGGTGAAAAAAGAAAGACAAAAAATTTAAATAAAAAATTAACTCAATTCAGCACGAGTTTAGTATAGTGAATTAGCGTTGACCCAAATGCAATTTTTTCGATTTTTTTGTTTTTGCTTGCATCTAATTTTAGAAAGTTATGGACATTTTGCTGTTTCGTGCAGTCTGTGGTAATAGATTTATGTTAAACAGACATGTTCTAGATTATGATTTTTAATGCAGTGCATATAGACTTTGTTGTTGTAACAAACATTTTTTTTTTTTAATTTTTTAGTTATTCATTATTTTTAAATCAATTATTGATTTCGAAAGTTAAGTTATTTACGCAAGTGTAACCAGTTAAATTGCGTGAAAGAGTTATAAAGGAGAAGTAATAAGCAAATATTAAATGTTACTGAAGACTAAAATCTGGTTTAACGAAACCAAGAACTTGTATTTCTCTAACCCAGAACTTAAAAATAACAGTCTTAAATTTGACAAACCTTGGAGTAGTATATCGAACAGACATTGCTACTACAAATGCATTATATATGGACCGGGATAAAACAAGGTTATCGACTTTTTTAAACTATATTTTAGTAGAGATTCTTAAGAAAATCAGTGGCTATGAATATTATTTTTAAACGTTTGCTGAATACTACTGCAACAGTTTTTCTCAAATACTTGTAATTAACATATTGACGAAATAAAGTTATTATTATAATGAAGAAACTCGAAAATTAATTAAATTAATCATTATTTAATATCAAGGTTTTTTTTTTAATATATTATATAAAACAGTTACTTTATCGCAGCTACATAACGAAAATGTTCGTTTTTACTTTTAGATTATGATCGTAATGTCTCCTATAAGTATCTGTATGAGCTGCTATTGTTCCAGTCGCGGTTGTATCACCCATAATTGAAATATCGAATAATAAATTTCTTTTTCTATCACAAATAAATTAACAAAGCACTTGATTACGCTGCTTTAATCTGCAGTATATTTTAGGAAATAAAATTTGTCTCTCATTATACTCAACACTCATGCTTATTTAGATCAGTTGATCCAATAGAAAATCAATATAGCGGAATAGTAGCACGCTTTTTTTAATTAGCTAAAACCAATTACTTGATATGAACGCTTCGAAGTTTGAGTGAGTTTGCAAATAATTTTTGGCTCAACGGAAAAACATAGCCGCCCACAGAGAAAGTCATCTTAAAATGCCACATAGTAATCTTAAAACTATACTACTATAAATTGTCTATAAGTACAGACCAAATTATTTCAGTAAAACCCGACCGCTGCAAATAACATTTTTCAGAAATTTTTTAATAATTTGTAAATGAGTATCACATTCATGGTATCATTTTGTTGAAGATTAGGGTCATATACACTCACATTTATTGTAGTTAGCCAAATCAATAAAGAGTAATTTATGATTAATTGTTTAATTATAAAAAAAAACTAATTAAATTATTATAATATTACTTCTCTAATACAAAAGATGTTTTAAAAAAGATTTAAATTAAACAAATTAAAATTGACCGAAACTTTTGCGAAAACAAAGTTATATACAATGATGTTACTACGTTTGACTGCAAATGCTTCCTGCTCTGCTCTATGTGCAAAAAAAAAACAACATTGAACGGTATACACTGTTGTTCTTTGTTCATAATAAAATCGACCTCGAATAAAAAAGGAAGTTGTTTTGCAGCAAATTATATATACATTTAAATACAGATATCTTTCATTTTGAATGCAAAATGCAGAAAAGAAAAAAAGAATAAATATAAACGAAATGCAGAAAAAAATATAAAATAGTAGACGCTTCTATTTTAGAAATTTAGCTATTAAATAAATTTTACCTAACTCAAACTAAAAAAAATAAATTAAATCTAAAAAAATTTAAACACTTTATATTAAATTTGCGCCTGTGTAATGATGTGAAACACCAAAATATATACATATATTCATTTTTTTTATGTTAATACGCATATAAATAATTTTATTAAATGTGTAAATTTTAATTAACATACTTAAATGGGAAAGGTTAACAAACCACATCAAGCATAATAATTAATAAAGAACTTGTAATATTCAATTAAGTTGAAAAGTCGCGGCACAAAATGAAAATAAAACAATATAAATATGCATTAGGGTGGGTGAATAAATTTTTTTTAAACTTTATTCTTTGAAAAATTCATTGGTAGACTACCTAAAAAATTCCCTCTAAACATGGGCTCTTAGTATTAATAAATAATAAGGTCCATTCGATCCAGTATCTAGATACTATTTGAAAAAAAAGTTCGTCTTTTTCATTTGTAGAAAATTAAATTCTCTACGAAAATGTGTTCTTAAAATTTTTTCGTAAACCTCAACTTTTATACTTGGTGAGAATTTTTTTGAGGTGTCTACAATCAATTTTGCAGAGTACAAAATAAAAAAAATGTAAACGATATTTCTTTTGGCTCACCCTAATATGTTTGTTAGAATTGCATTTATTTTTGCATTTTTAAATGTGAAAACGCAAACGGAGACTAAGTAAAAATTTGATTCACTAACGCAGTGAAAACTGTATATAAGGTTAGAAATTTGGAAATCAATGTAGCTACAATAAACATGTCAAATAAGTACAACCTGAAGCCAATCTGAGGTCAACAGCAAACTCGCAACATTTTGGCAATTACAACTTTTAAATAGGAAATTCAGAAATATTTTTGTTACCTCTTTAATCAAATCCAATTGGCTGATAAATGGGCTCAAATCCACTTCTTCACTCAACGCTGCTTGCGTGTTATGCTCGCCACTTTCCTTTTCTTTTTTAATCTTGGGCGCAGCTTCGTCACTGGAGCTTGAGGAGGTTGCCACTTCATTTTCAAGCGCAAGTTCCTGCTCCTCTTTGTCAAGCTGTTCGGTTTTAATGCTGGCAATATCGGCCGGCTCGGGAAAAGTATCATTTAAAGCGCCCGCACCGACCGTCTCCTCCTTTACCGCGACACCAGCCGCCGCTGCACTTGCGAAACTCGGAAAGAACATATCCAAATTAACATCAATATAAGTGTTGTTGTAAGGCTCATCTTTGAGCGGCAAACCAGCGTAGGGATTGTTGACGGCAAGATCGCCAAAGTCACGCAGATCGGCCAAGTTTTGCTCCCATACCGAACGCTGATCTTGAAAGTTTTCCGAATTGAGAAACACATCCAACTCCGAAGCGGGCAAACCCATATTGCTGGCATTCGTGCTGGCCGCCGCAGCAGCCGCCGCCGCATTGGCGGCCTGTTCCAAGGCAGCGGCACCAGCCACATTCACACTACTAGCGGCGCTCGTCGTCGAACTCGTTGTTGCTTGCAGTTCCGGTAGGGTGGCGGTCTGATTGGTGCCACCATCATTTTGCACATTCAACATGTAAGCGGTGACATTATATTGCGGCGGTGTAGCGTCATGTTGGCGATCATAGCGTATTAGATCCTCAATGAGTGGCATCATAGTTTTGCGATTCGCATACGGATACTCGACCATCGGCACGGCACGCAACATTTCCAATTCCCAGCCATCACCATCGCGCAACTCCAACTGTGAATCCCAATTGCGCAAGCGTTGCTGTAAGAAATTATCCGGATCCACGTGCAGCAAGCTCAAGGCCAATGCTAACTGCAGCATCTTCATGGCGTATGATTTTTTGTTCGATATCATTTTGAGCCGTTGTGAAGATTGCGCTAACGGTAATTCTGACGAAGTAGTTTACCAACGTGTGTGCACAAAACTCCTGCACCCCTACCCTCCGACCCCCGAAAAGTATGCGAAATGTCACAGTCTAACTATGACAATCAATTTTCAGTGTCGACGGCGAAGTCGACGCAGCCGCCGCTGCGTGTTGCCTTGAATTTGAGGTTAATTTGTGCGTTAGTGTTTCGACTTTTCTCCTTTACTTTGGTCCGATTTGAAATAAACTATAAATATTTATTTATCTAATATTTTTGTGTTCTTCGGGGGTTACGAATCTGTTCCGATTTAAGTAGTCGCAATTTTTAATTGTTTCTGGCTTTTACTGCAGTCGGTTTTGTGCAACAAATTGCTTTATGAATTTACTGTTGTTGTTGTTATAAATATTTGTTTGTTGTTGAGTCGCCCACAAGCTATCTCTTCACCCCTCGCACCGTTAAATCGCAATTCACCCAATTAATTAAAAGCGCTGAAAGAGATCAGAGAAAATAATTTATAAATATATAGATATAAATACGTATGTATGTATGATTAATTGTGTGTTCAAAACAATGTACGAATGGGAATGGACATATACTAAATAATATGTATGTAAAATTAAGCTATGAATGTGAGCAATTTATTTACTAATATGACAAGTGAAGGATGTTTGATGTTTTCGCTCACGCAAATGGCGAGCTGTAAGTAATGATATTTAAATGAGATTTCGTTAGTGTAGCTACATATGTATGTATATGAATGCATAAGGAAGTGTTGCGACCTAGAATGGAACAAGCTGAACCTTCCCCAACAACGACGGGGTAGAAAGATATCTCCTATGAAGCAGTCAGGATGTGTCTAACTTAATTTATGAGTTGATTTCCCGTTAACACAATGCAAAATTGAAGACGCATCAGAAATGAGGGTTCTAATATGTACATGGGATCTTGAATGAGTTGCCTGTGGACTTTCTACCGTTAGAGAATGGAATAATTATTAAACTAGAGACGATCTCAAGGTGAACATCAGTTCTACAGAAGAACTGGAATTATGCTAACTAAGGTTACATTAATAGTGACCACAAGTTTAATATCAGAAGAATGTAATCCAAGAAAGTCCTCTAGGGGTTACTTGTACTGAAAAACTCAAAACATGAAATGAACTGAAAACTTTGAATTTAACTTTCAGCAGTTGGATAAGACCGTAGTATATTATCTAACTTCGGATAAATAATTTTTAAATATTTATAACAATAAAAGAGCCCAGGCTGGTCTACGAATTTACTTCAAAACTTATTTATGTACTATAAAAAGAGTTTGATTTTGATCGGTCAGTTTGTATGGCAGCTATATGTTAGTGACCCAATTTTGGTGGTTTCGCCAAATGAACAGCTTCGTGCGGAGCAAAGGACGAAATTTGTGCGAAATTTCAGGATGATAACTCAAAAACTGAGGAAAAAGTTCGCATATATACAGACAGACGGACTCAACTCGTCACGCTGATAACTTATATATCTATTTTTAGGGTCTCAGACATTTCCTTCTGGGTGTTACAAACTTCAGGGCAAACAGGGTATAAAAATTTTAATCCGTGAATGTTTAGGTCACTTTTTGAAGAATATGTATGGCGCAGAATGCATAGCGCACTTGCTACTCCAAGCTTTAAGTTCTAATATGGCTCGATTCCTGAAATTATTTTAAGATGATGAGATCTAATTCACCCAAACATTGAGAGAATAATGCTTGGACTTCGCTGAAAAAATACATTAGCATGACAACATCAAGACCAACACCACAAAGAGGAGAAGACGTTGGGTCTATCATAAGACATATGCACATACATAAAGCTATTATGTATTACAAGAGATATCGGTCAAGAAGTTTTTAATCAAGTATATATACAAATATTTAGTTTTAGACCTTTCCAAAATTGCTGGAAAATTATTGAAGAAGAATCACAGATCCTAAAACTTTGCTGCACTGTTTTGAACACTGGAAAGTTTTTCAAGGGTAATAGGAAACTATATATTTATGTACAACAAATACTGAATTGTCTATCAAGAACGAAATTTTAGACTATCCATCTTGTTTGGGAAATCCACGGTGTAAATGGAATAGATATGATCTACATAAGTAGGCTTCGATGGTAAACTATTTGTAAAATCTTAATCAAAGTGGGTCTGTCTTATTTTATGTTGCATGGAAAAAAGATTTTGTTCGAGAAAAATCACCTCAGTTCCAGATCACACGCGTTAATCGTTACTTTAAGGTGGATTCTGTGCCAAAGGGAATAAATTTGAATCCCTTTAAGAGGATCAGAGGACATGATAAACTTTCTGATAAGCTTAGCTAACAATATTGTTTCAGACGCTTTAAGATGCGGTTAATGCTGGGATATTTAATATGGTAGTTATAAGATGGCATATTCGATAGTTACGAGAAAATTAAAACAGATGTTTGAACGTCATTTTTAATACTTGATAGTAAAAACTTATCGATACCCTCAGGGTATAAGTCCTCACGTTTTTCATAAATGATTTATGATTTTTATTTAATGTTAATGTCTTTTTTTATTGATAATTATGAATTCATATAATTTGGGCCACTCATAGCAAGAATGGTTTCTAATCGCAAAAAACAAACTCAAGGTCACTTCGAGTGGTTTACCCTCGTATGTATTGCTGAAAAATGCAATTTATTTACTGCAAAATATTTTCACATGAGAATATTTGCATATAAAAACAACATTATTTTCAATAAGAAATTAAATTAAATTTCAAATAAGGGAAATTATATTTAGATTTTTATTTTTTTTTTTAATGTGCACACTTTAGATAAAGCGAAGGTATTGAAAATTAAATAAGATTACAGAATTCTGGAATTATATACAGCCATATACGTATGTATATAGTACAATAAGAAAATTTTCCCACTTTTCGATCTTATTTTTATTTAACATTTGTATGCGTATATACACTTTTTATTAAGGTGAAGCAAAAAAACAAAAAATATACTTGGCTTCTTAAAGCAAAACATTGAATAAGGATGAAGAAATTACGCAGTGGCAGTTGAATGTTACGGCTGAATGGATGATGCTTTTTATGGCATTGATATTACACACACCGTTGAGACGTACAGTTTGTCACAAAACTAAGTTTCTAAATTATTGTTTTTTTTTTTAATTAAATTTAGACTTTAGGCATATAAAATATTTAAGGTCATTATCTTTGCGTTTTTTATTCATATTTCGATAGTTTATACCTTCAAAAATAACATATTTTACTAAAATTTTAAATCGGCATCTCAAATAGTTTTTGATTTTCTCAAAATAGTATTTTTCATATTTGCTTGGAGTAATTACTCGGAGATTATCAAATTTTTTTGCACGTTCTGTATAGAATGACTTACTATTTTTGTGATCTCATCAAAAATCGAATTTTGACAGCCGAAAAACTATCCACATTTTGGGTAAAACTAAATTTTACAATTTTGTCAATATTTATTTTTATTTCGACCGTACGGACAATGTGTTCTAGTAGATAATTTGTTTTTGTTAGGTCTCATCCACGGAGAAGGCCGGAAATACTGCAGTATAACTCGAAAAATATTTAATTTTCTTCAAAAATTTTACTTTGTATTCTCAAAGTATGTTAAAATATAAGCTTAAAACCATATATAAGCTTTTTTTTTTTTTTTTTTGAAAATTACAGAATTCTAAACTAAAGCAACATTTTTTATGCGAATTGGTTTTAGAACGATATAGATTATTTTCTAAGATACTAATTCTAAGCTACAATAACTAAAGAAATTTTCTAGATCGGTCTCTAATATAGCTGCCATATATCTGAACGATCAAAATCCAGTTCTTGTATGGAAACTTCGTTATTTGTGAAGGATATTCAAGATTCGGTGTAACCGAAGTTAACATTTTTTCTTGTTTTACATATAACGAAACGCTCCTTTTAGCGAGCATGAATAAAAGCTAAGAATAAAATCATATATTAATTTAATTTAAAAATTGAGCAAACCTCAAATATTTTCTATATGTATATTACCAAATAATTATAAAAAAAAATTAAAACTAAAATTAAAATAGCCAAAAATATATTGCAAATTAAATCTTAATTAGAACAGAGAAACTTATTTTTATGTCATACTGTAAATCTTACATTAAAGAATTATCTTCGATTATATTATGTATGAATGCATAACCGTAGAATTGAAAGAAAATAAGTAGTATGCAGTACACATAGCGATAACACTGTGCGACAAATTTTAAGGATTTTTTTCTCGCCAAAAATTTTAGTTGCCATTGATTTCATGACCCACTGTACAGAATCGGAAGAATTTGTTCAGGTCAGCGCGAATGAAGTAGATATTTGATTTTAGTAGTTTTTAAAGGTATTTTTTAGACACAGTATATTTATTAAAATAAAAAGCATTTTCCTTTTAATATATCTCAAAAAAGAGCAAATAATTGCGCATATTATTAATGATCTAACTTTTTCCTCAGTGACCTTGAAAAGGCAGTTGGAAAAAAGAGTACGGTAAATATTTTTTTTTTTTTTTGAAAATGTATTTTCAAATATTTTCAGCTAATATAGAAAAATACCTTTGAATTTGCGATTGGGACATATAGAATAGTTATGAACCAAAATTTCCAGGGAAGAAGCATTTGTTTCACAATGTAATATGTAATGTTATGTTAAAAGTGCGACGTGGGTGGTTAATGCGTACACAATGAATGCCAAAAATACTGTATGCGAATTCATTTTGCTATGTACACAATATGTTAAGTGCATTCTGCGCACACAGACCATTCAAGTCAGTCGTACACTCACCTTTTGGAGCTTTTTTGCGCCTGCACTATATTCGTTATATACGCCAGCTAATCGGAGAGAGAGACAATATTGCTACGCAATATACTTGCCACACAGCAGCTGACCCTCAGTCTGGGGTTTAAGAATAAAACGAAAACACCGAAGAAGGCTGCTACGGCCTATTGCAATGGCGTTGGTACTGACAGCACTTTGACGGCGCGGGGTGTGGATGTTGTTGACTTTTTTCCAAAACAATAAAAAAAATACTTGTTAAAATTTTTGCAATTGTTTTGTTACAAGTTGAATGATCCAGTATTATATGATGTTTGTCCTTGCGCCCACGTGGGAGCCATGCAAACACATACACACACGCACAGAAATTACCGACAGGGTTGTCTATATACTTAAGAGCACAGTTATTTCGCGCAAATTTACAAGAAGCAGTCGCACACGTACACTAAACTCGCTCGTTTGTTTGTGTAATTTTCTTATTGCTTTTGGTTGTTATATTTTCGAGGGGGCGCACAAGTCGGGTGCTGCAGCGAGTGCTGTGCTGTCTGAAGGGTAGGTGCAAGTTTGATTTGAGTTAAACTTTTTTTATGATTACAGGTCACTGTACGGTGAAAATTGCGAATTCTATTAGAGTGTTAAATGTTGTTGGTGTTGATATATTTTGCTGTTGTTGCTTTTGCTGAAACTCTTTGTTATTTCTTTCGTTATGTACTGCATCGTTAATTTTCTAACACAATATTCACTTATTCGTTGTTTTTATACACATTTTTGTTGCTGCTCTGGTTCTATTGCACGCTCTACGTGCGTGTCCTTGAACTTGGCCAACGTACTTTCACTAAGGCAGATAACGAATACTAAAAAATTGCGGCCAAACAATTGAAATGTTTCTTTTTATACAACAAATATAACGAAAAAATGGAGAGAAAATTAAAAAAAAAATGCAAGCAAAAAAATTAAACACGAAATGACGTCTACGAAGAAGGTAAAAAAAAGTCGCTGTTGGGGTTTTGGCTATAAATTTGTTAAACTTAAGGTTGCGGCGAATTTGGGAAATTTCTTTAGTTTACCTTCTTTTTTTTTTAAGTTTTATAGCACACACTTAATTAAATTTTGTTTTTGTTTTTATGCCCAAATTTTTTATCCTAATTTTGCAATTGTCGCCAATTAAACATATTAAAAATAGCATTCATTTCGAAATCTTGCTTTTCACTTTTTTGCTAATACACTATTGGGCGCAAGTACGAACCAGCCCCTTTTTTCGTTCATTGCTTTACGCTATCGCCCACTATTCGCGTTTAATGGCATCTATTATTACATTGAATACGTTGTTTACCTTTTGTTTTTATTATTATTGTAACTAATTGATTTATAATTATTTGTTTTTTTTTTGTTAATTGTGGCAAAATGTTAACAGCATCGTAGTTATTTTTTTAATTTCTTTACACTCACTTAACCAAACGTAACCATAAATATTTTAACTGCTCCAAGTAGATTAATTTTATTTTTTATTACTCACGTTTTGCCTCTTTCGCAGTTCAACACTTCAACCGCTTTGTTGTCTTCATTAGAATAATTGAAAATTTTATAAACGCGCCTCGATTTGGCTCAGAGGCGGTAAAATACGTTCACCACTATTCTTTTGTTGTAATTTTTTTTTTTTTAAATGCGCTTTGTCTATATTTTACAATCGTATGGCTACTCGACGAATTGCGATTCGTAGCAGAACGATATCGCAGCCGACATCGCTGCTACATTTCGTATATTCGCGCATGATTCACCGCCCGCTCATATACACGCAAACCCACCCACACACACATTTTTACGCACACACTCCGCAACTCAATTCATTTTTTGGTTTTACAACAAATGCAATCGCTGTTGTTGTTATTGTGTTGTTGTTGATGCGCAATGTGGATTTCTTTGTTGTTCGCAAAAGACGCTGCTTAGCATGCGAGTTGGCTGGGGTAGGTTATTAGGGAATAGCAACAAACACATGTACATACATGCATACAAACATATGGAATGGTCTGTTTAGAAAAGGAGTGTCGGTGTTTTGCTTTCTCGGTTTATTAATTTTTTTATTTTTGTTTGCTAAATCTTTATTTGGTCATGAGGTTGTCCGTCGAAATCCGTCCGTCGTTGCAATGACACAGTTGTCTATGAAACCATCTGCAAACCAGTTGTTGTTACGGCACTAAATTGTTCAAAATCGATATTGATCTTGATAATTGCTTAGTTTTAGATTAAATTTCGAAATGGTGTGTAAATAAAAAATAAAACATTCTTATTTAATCGATTTTTTTTCAGAACACAATTCACAATATAACATACTAAAATTTTAAATTAATATATGAAACAGATCAGATTATCTTTAAACGCGTCCTTGTCGAATATAAACACACTATTTTTTCTGCATGTTCTGTATACACAGCAGCGTGCAATGAAATAGTAGAAGGATACAAGATCATAATTTGTATGTCTGCATACCTCGTAAGGCTCCTTTGTTAAAACAAAATCGTGCTACGTGATTCGTCTTGGCCAATATTAAAATGTAAGAACAAACTTTTAACTGAAGAGTGGAAAATTATTCTTTATGACAGGAAAGGGTTTCGAGAGTATGTGCAACGTCCCTCTAATAAAGAGTATGAACCACAATACACCACGAAGCTTAAAAACATAGGTGTTCAAGGTTAAAGGTATGGTAATATTTCAGGTAGTTTAGTTCGATCTCCTGACTTTAATCCTATTGAAACCCTATTTTATATTGTATAAAAAAAAATGTGTTTAGATGGCTAAGCCCAAAAATATCAACGAGTTGTGTGAGAGCAAAAACTATTTAAAACTGTTAACAATTGAAAAAAAATTTGGGTTGGCAACCACTACTATTTCATAGCTCGCAGCTGTATGTACATGGATACCAATAACCTACCAGCCTTTTGCTCTGATCACAAATTAAACTTTGGAAGGCCAAAAGCGACAATAATTTTGGTAACCTTTTTTTAAAACGCCGAGATTTCGTAAATTTTTGATTTTTGAGATTTTTTTAGGTTTCATCCACGGAGCAGGAAGAAATCTATCAACACTTATTCGAAAATTTTTTAAATTTTTTCTTCTAAAACTATCTTTATTGTGTCTTCCTAATATGTATGCGTAAATATACTCAAAAAAGTTAACCGTGCAATAGCTATTCTAAAGCTTTAATTACGCACTAATCTAGTTTAAACAAAGTTTATTATTATTATCTATTTCGTGTAATTTTTATGAAAGTGAAAGTTTAAAATGAAGACGCTCCATTGTTTTGTTTTATTTTAAAAATGCTCACTTTTTTATTTACTGGTATTAATCTTTTATAATATCAAAACAAAATATTTTACATTTTTTTGAATTTAATTGTATTTAATTATATTTTGAAAAATTAATTATAAATTTATTGTCCTTTTTTTCCATATAATGAAAAACAAGCAACACTGTTCTTGTTAGATTTCTTATTGGTTGAGATCATAACAAAGCACATAAATATTATACGTGTTTGTCGAATATGCCGGAAGTAGAAAAGCCAAATGCATTCCGAAACAACAAATATACCGATAGTAATATTTATGATTTCTAATAAAAGTAATATAATATTAAAAGTAATGATATAAGCAAACGGCAGAAATAGAATGTGAAATAATGCAACAATCAAAACGTATTGAGACTTTTAAGATTTAAAGAATAAATTCAATAATTTTAATTAAATGTTTTCATATTTGCATTTTCCAAACAAACAAGCAAAGAAAACACAACAATTAAGTACATACATACATACATATGTATGTATTTATGTATAAAGGCACATTTGTATAATTTTCAATTAAACTAGAATTTTCTATGTATTCTTAGTTGCCGTGTTTTGTTGTGAAATACAAAAATGTAAAAGTAGATGTGAACAACTATGACGTTTTCTTTTCAACCATCTTTCGTATTGGAGTTGCACTTTAGGGCTGTTTGGCTATCGACAACACTCAACATAGGACCAAATGCATGACACAGCAGCAAAACACATTACTTTTTCTACCAGTGGCAAGTAAACAGCACTAACAACAACAACAGCGCAGCAACAAGCGCTGCACTTCGCGCACAACACCAGCTGCTACATTGCACTTGTCAAATTCAATTTTCTAATCACTGCCATTTAAAAGACAAATTCTTCATTTCATAATATTTTGATAATTTTAACTTTTCACCAACGTTTTTATGCACGCACAAGTATTTGCCTTTTTATTTGTAACGCAATCAATACAAAACTTATTGAAAAAACATTAGCAAGTGTCGCTCCAATTGGATTCACAAGCGGAGAGCAGCGGACAACAACGAAGCAGCGCAGCAAGCAGCACGGGCTTTCATTTTATTTACGCCATGGCATTCGCGTATAAAAACACTTTAAACACCAAAAAAATTGATAATCCACAACGCCATCATAATTTTCTACAGACGTGCGAAAGTACAACGTTTAACCGCAAAACTTGAATTCTGTGCACTTTGCACGTTTTCTTACCATTTGCTGTTTCGTACCTTCGCTCGTTTGCACGTCGTCGACGCAAAATTCAACACTCAAACACTCACTAAATAAAAACTCCGAAATAAGCTGCGATTGCACGTTTAAAACGTTGAATAGAAACTCCGTCTTTTACCGTGCTGTTTGCAACTTCGTTTTATCGAAAGATATTTAGTTTAATAGACTTAAATTCAATGTATTTATCGTTCTCACTTCACCTCTAACTAGTCTACGGTGGATCTGCGAAACTTTTGTGTTAATTTAACAAAATTCTTAAATGAACTGAACACACACAATAACTACAACTCGCTGTCAACGAGTTTTGTTGCGTTTGCTTTTGTATTTCGTTCGTTGAAGATATTCACCAACCTACACTGTGTTGAAATGCTCAACATAGATAAAAGCTTTGTGATGTTGAAAAGCTTTTGAATTGGAGACGACAGTGAGCGAGTGAGTCATGGGTTGTATTAAAAATTGCATAAAACGTAGTAGGCACATTTGAGAAATGAGTAGTTATTTGAAAAAAAAATATTGAAGGTTAGTGGCCTTTCAACCATTTTGAATAGGTATTTGTTCGTTTAATTCAAATTTGCGCAATATACTATATCCTGTATATTTTAGAGCAGTAATAATAATTGCTGAAAGTTTCCATGCTATAACCACCTGATAATAGAATGCCATCATAGTACTTATTATAGGTGCGCTGTGCGAAAAGTTACAGCTAAAAAAGTTACTACGCATACAATTTGAGAAAGCTAGTGCGTAAATGCAAAAAACAGTACTGATACCGTAGAATAATCAAGTACTTCGCTATAAATAATCGAAAAACAGATTCCTAAATATCATTATAGATAAAGCCAAGGTTGTTTGCACAAATTTTTTATAAATATTAAAAATAGGCACTGCTGGTCAGGGATAACGTTTAGTGATATAATATCTATGATATGGATTGGAGTTTCTTATAAAATATGAAAGGAGCCTTTCATTATGTTGAGAATCCGTTCCCACGACAGTCGGGTCTACGTAACCGGAACGGACCCGGGTTTATTCCGGCCAAGGACTGTCAACTCGGCAGAATTCTGGCGCTACAACAACAACAACATTATGTTGAGAATATCACTGCTTCAGAATATCACTGCACCAAGGACTGAAAGGTAACGGGCTGCGTTCATTTGCTAGATTAGCGTTCTTCGGAGTGTACTTTTGGACGTAGTAATATCATTTTAAATTGGTCTGAATGAAGCTACATCATATCGATTATATACAAGTATACAACTGAAAGTTGAGGATAGACGATTTTAGATAATTCATATTGATGATTATTATTCAATTTAGATAATAATGCGCTGTTATCGATTACACTGTTAGCGAGACTATCGACTCGTTTGACTACTGTAAAAATTATGTTCTCGTTATTATATTGTCACTATTTTAAATTAAAAAACAAAAAAAGATAATTGAAAAACAATATTTGTTTCTCTTCTCTCTAATTAATTAAAAGTCTCTCAATAAGCTTTGGTACAGTATATTTAACACACCCTAATAATAAGTAGTCACAATGCGAATCCAAAAAATTTTGTTGCCATTCACATCCGATAAGAAAAAAAACCAAAACAATATCTAATAATTAGGAATTGTACGAATACATTATCATAGCAGCATTTTTATACACCTTTTTTTGTAAACAACTTGACTCTTTGATTGTATTAATTATAATAATTCTTTATAACCACTTTTTGTCATAGCACAACGGCTGTCTGAAGCACATACATGCCCGTGCATAGCACCTATGTACATATATTTTGTATATAAAATATAAGTATACTTGTACTTACCTGGCTAATGTACCGACAGCCATTAAGTTCACTCATATAGTTGCGCTGATTACCAGCACTTTGCCAACCCTTCTCATTGCATGAGTTTAACGATTTCATAAGCGTTGACCTCTTATCGGGCTCTTTATTCTCCAATATCGTCATATGGTACGCCTCCATGTCTTTAACCGGCGATAAAGATTCCAAACGCGGCAGATCTTCTAAACCAATCATTTTCTTGAAGCATTCACCTTATGTTCGCTATAAATAAATATGAAATTAAATTAATATGTTTAAAATATAAGCTATATATTTATCGTATCAATATGGACACTATGGTGTACGTTTGGGAGTTAGTATCCAAGGGGTTTTTTCACCGTCCGCAATCGAAAGATCCAATATATTTTATTGTCCTGCCTGAAGAAATAAAAAACAGAGTTTTAAAAATAAATGTCTGCATATTTTACCTATATATGATATTTCTAAATCGCTCTTTGAGTAATAGCTCTCACAAGGTACAAATGGCTATAATATTAGACTCCATAATCAGATTGTCATATTTTACTCCTTAAACATAACAATATTTAAATAAATTTGGTTTTTCTGGATTAATACACAATAATTTTGGAATATTTTGGGTTGGATTAAGAACGTTGCAATACTAACGTTGAGTTCGCTTACTCTGTACTTAAAATTAGTCAAGGAGTGGCTGTTCTCACTATCAAAAGTACTCCTTTAATATTAGACTCATTTGTGGCTCTGGTTTTATCTGAATCGCTGGAAACTGCAAAGCTGATGAATTCGCAAGAGTGCTCTTGTCCCAATTACATCGGATTGGAAAAGAACTGGTTCTACCATAAGTTATCCTCTACCGTTCTACGACCTATGGACCTCGCGTGAGCATAGCAAGAGATGGTCAACAACGAGCTTCTGTGGAGGAAGGTTAGGTGGAAACATCCAGTTATATTCTGCTCCATTGTCCAGCTCTTGCAAGACTAAATTTGAAGCATTCGGCAGTCCTACTTTCGGCGACCAGAAATTAACAAATTTGTGATAGGCACAAAGTGCTCTATCGATTTATGTTGGTCTTCACGACCCATACTTAGGGGTATTTATAGTATCACAATACACCGGCGTTTTCAATTGTCCAAGAGCAATCGTTATTGGCTTTTGTCACAGGATCGATCTTTTTAATCTAGGGATATTTCCGTGAGCATTACCTAACAAAATTGTACGAATAATTTCCAAAAAGAGTATTCGTGGACTTATTACTATCGGTTGCAATTGGGTCTTAATGAGTGCCCAATTTCCAAAAAGTTATGATCATAGGGCAATTATTCTCGATTGATCTCTTATGGATCTGACTGGTCTTAAAAATCTTCAAAAAAGACTAGTATCCATTAGCTGCCCTTTCTAGTATTAAATGTTGCAAATAGTCTCTCTATAGGACATGCTCGAATACAAGAGATCAGTTCTTACTATAAAAAGAGGTCAAATTGTGATTACACTAAGTGGTCATTAAATTATGAACGAAGGGAAGGTTTTTCTTTTATTTAGCACTTTTTAAACGGAAAATTTACTTCATTTATTAATTTTAGATATTTCAACTTGTAGC